GTCATCTCCTCCAACCTTCACTGCGAGGAGATGCTGGATTTCCTTGAATCCAAGATCAAGGGAATCCGCTCCGCGGTCACTTCCCCTCCAACTTCCACCCACCACCCACCCCTTCCCTCCCACACTCCGACTCCTACCCATCCTCCCCTACACACCTTCGTACCCGTTTCCCCACCCTCTGTCACTGAACTCATCCTATCCCTAAAACCAACCACCTGCTCCCTTGACCCCATCCCCACTCCACTCCTTATCTCCCAGCTCCATTTTCTTGCCCCACACATCACTGACATCATAAACCTGTCCCTCTCCTCTGGCTCTGTCCCCATTCCATTAAAAACTGCCATCATCACGCCCACCCTGAAAAAACCCTCCCTTGATGCGTCGCAGCTATCAAGCTACCGGCCCATCTCCAACCTCCCCTTTCTCTCCAAGGTCTTGGAAAGAGTTGTCGCCTCCCAACTGCGCTCTTTCCTCTCCACCCATTCTCTTTTTGAACCCCTTCAGTCAGGTTTCCGTGCTGCTCATAGCACAGAAACTGCCCTGGTCAAGGTCACCAATGATATCCTGACTATCTGTGACCAGGGCTCCCTCTGTCTCCTCGTCCTCCTCGACCTATCGGCAGCATTCGATACGGTCGACCACGCTATCCTACTCCACCGCTTGTCCTCCCACCTCAACCTTCAAGGCACTGTCCTTGAATGGTTTAGCTCTTACCTTTCCCACCGTCTTCACTTCGTCTCAACGAATGGCTTCTCCTCCACCCCCCGTACTGTCTCATGTGGTGTCCCTCAGGGCTCTGTCCTCGGTCCCCTCCTCTTCACCCTCTATATGCTCCCCCTTGGTGACATCATCCGCAAACATGGGGTTAACTTCCACATGTATGCGGATGACACCCAACTCTACCTTTCCTCCTCTACTCTCAACTCCACGACCACCGATGTCCTGACAGCCTGCCTGTCCGACATCGAGTCCTGGACGAGAGACAACTTTCTTCAGCTCAACGTGCGAAAAACCGAGGCCCTCCTGATTGGCTCACGTCAGCGCCTCCGCACCTCAGGCGCTGACACCATCAGCATCCAAGGCTGCACTCTCCACCTCTCAAAGCCAGTCAGGAACCTCGGCGTTTTGTTCGACCCTGAGCTGTCCTTTCTCCCTCACATCCGCACCACAACTGGCACCGCCTTCCATCACCTCCGGAATATCGCCAGATTACGGCACTACCTCACCCCTCACGCTGCTGAAACCCTGGTTCACGCCTTTGTCACCTCAAGGCTGGACTATTGGAACTCTCTCCTCGCCGGCCTTCCCGGCACCTCCCTCCACAAGCTGCAGGTCATTCAGAACTCTGCAGCTCGTGTACTGTCCCGCACCAGGCTTCGGGACCACATCACTCCCACCCTCGCTCGCCTCCACTGGCTCCCCATCCCCCAGAGGATTGATTTCAAGATCCTCATCCTCACCTACAAGGCCATTCACGGCCTTGCTCCCTCCTACCTCTCCAACCTACTATCCCCCTACCTACCTGCCCGTAACCTCCGTTCCTCTGGCTCCGGTCTGCTCCACGTCCCCCGCCCCAACCGCCCTACTATCGGTGGTCGGGCCTTCAGCCTCTCAGCCCCGAGGCTCTGGAACTCCATCCCCCAGTGCCTTCGCCTTGCTTCCTCCCTTTCCTCCTTCAAGGCCGGTCTCAAAACCTTTCTCTTTGACCGTGCCTTCAGCTCCCCTCTCGACTCTCTTCCTCCTCCTCGCTTCCTCCCTTCCCTCCCCTCACCCTGACCATTTCCCCCCTCCTCTCTCCCTCCCTTCCCTCCCCTCACCCTGACCATTTCCCCCCTGCTCGGGTCATGACCCAACTGTGCAGCGCCTTGGGACGTCCTCCTGACGTGAAAGGCGCTCTATAAATGGAATCTTGTTGTTGTTGTTGTTGTTAACTCCTCCCCCATGCCTTGACGCCTCTTCCAGACTGAGAAACAAGCAAATGGTCACTTTTACTCTGACCTGTACTGTTTTCATGCCACAGAGCGAGCCTTTATGGGATTATCTTTAATGTGTTTTCATTCCAGATCCCATCCAGAATCCCAACATTTCCCTGAAGCCGGATACCCAGGGGTTTGCCAGAGGGGAGCGCGCTGAGATTTCGTGCTCTGGGAATTATCCTGGTAGCAATTTCTCTTTATACAGAAACGGCGAGTATATCATTTCACAACCAGCAACAGAGAATAAATACACGGCCACTTTTATCCCATCGGAGATCACGGCAGGAAATTACACGTGCATATATGCTACATATATAGACAGACGACAGTTCACATCACCAGAGAGCGAGAGATTGGGAATACCTGTGCGGGGTAAGGGCTGAGTATATTCTTCCAATATTATCTTTTTGCATTTTGACCATTGACAGCAGCTTCTGTTGTTACCACACTTTACACCATCGATCATACTTCCATGTTACCTGCTAGTGTTGGCTGCGGTGTTTGAGATTGGGCAGATATTTTCCCCCGCGATAAAACAGTTTCCAAACCAAACTCCTGAGTGATCCTCACATGGCTGACAGGATGTGAACTCTCCGTCCTTTCCAGTTAGAAAGACGCTATTACTGACCCTCTCTTTCGTTACATTATAATGTGTTTTTATTCTGTGAGACAAGAATTGGTGATCCCAGAAATTTCTGCTAAATGTTGCTGTTATTTAACCAACTACACCACATAGCTTATCATTTATCGCAATGTGGTACACAAACACTTCCTCTCTGGCGACGACCTCCCGCTCAGGTTGACTGCAGTAGTAAAGCCAATTTGAAGAATCCCAGCTCCGAGAGACCAATCTTCCGCGCAACTTCTTGCCGACGAGCAGGACTGTAGTATCGATATCAACGCCCTGGAATACTGCAGACCCGCCCGGCTCAGGGAGCCGACTGGATACCACCATCAAATTAGGACTCGATTCCGAACTACCGCTGCTTGACAGATCACCATTGCATCATGCAAAGAGACCCTACTAATCTCCCCGTCCCTTGGGTCAGGGGAGGCTTTTCTCTTGAGGGCAGAATATGGGAACGAGATCTATTTTCTTTGGAACAGCGAAATGGTTACTTTCCAGTGTTCCTTCACATCAGGAGGAGACGCAAACTAACTGATGTCATTAAAATGATGAGTTTTTCCACTCAAATTAGCTCTTCAATGTCGACAAATTACTCTTTGTACATTTCCCTCTCCAGTGAACTTGACCTGGCTGCACACTGAAGGACTGGTTGCGGGGGTTGTCACGGCGATTGTGATAACCGTTTTTGTACTGGGATTCTGTGCTAATAAGAGACGTAAGTGGCCCTGAATGTCAATCAATACAGTGTACAAATATTGAGAATAAATTAAGGACAACAACGGAACTAACCACTGCGTTTTGTTAAACTTTAGTGTCAACGAGTGCAGATGGGGACCTGAGAACAAAGCTACCGAAACAGCATTCGGTGTTTGTCAACTAATTTGTTAGTGGGAGAGATTAGACGGTTCTGTGTTAGATTGATATGCCTTTGTTTACCTTATCACAATATACTATTTGGTTTTAGCAAGTTGAACCAACGTAGGAGGAGAATATCTGAACAGATCTTGTTCTGTTTACATTTTGTACTAAAATCGAGTCATATTTCACTACAGTCAGCAGATTACGTTTCACAAAATATTAAGATATGGTAAGATATTACCGAGAATAATAACCCCCAAACAACAATGGTTTACAGTGTGCATTACAAAGAATAGTAACAATATTGGAGAAGTTTGAAGTGATGGGTCTTGGTGAGTGAGGGTGGTAACGAGGGGCAAACCTGAAGGAATCTGGAATGCATTTAAAAGGACATGGCCGGAGTGGCTGAAGTCACGTCTACCGATGGCGGTCGTGGGGCTTGGAGTGTGGATTGTTGCCTATCAAGGGCTTTTGACGCTGCATGATAGCCGGTTTATTATTTTTTTATGACATGCAATCTGTAGTGATGGATATTTCACACTTATTATACTCTGTACTTGCAGGTAAACAGAAAAGTCCAAGAGAGGAATGGTCAATACGTTTCTCCTCTATTCCATGCTCTCTCCGAATCCTTCCAGAGAAAGTGGTGTCCCCACTGCAGCTCTCTGTGCAATCCCATTTAGGCTCTCACGCCATCTTGTCTATGCTGATGCTCGCATGCCACTGGAGCTCCCCAATTTAATCCCATTACCAGATCTCTCACCAGATTATCTGTACTGGTCATCTCTCCTACACACATCAGCAAGAATCGGAGGTCAGACCAGATATTGGGAGCAATGAATTCGTCCACTAAACTCGTGCTACTCTGTAAGACAAATCCCATACGTGTTGGGTGGTCTTAACTCGACAAGCAGTGGCAGTTTCCCAGACAGAGTTCCCAGGAGCAAGCTCTGGGGTTTCAGTTGGTAGGACCCCGTCAGTTAACGCAATGTACACTTCGAGGTCGCCAAACTCTGATTATCGCCAGCCCGTGGCTTCTGCTCATGGTGATCAGTTTTGCAGATTTACTGCTCAATCATTAGAAACTAAGGAATTCCCATGTGTAGGAGGCATGTCTGGAATTCATCGTCTGGTGTGGATACTAATAACAATGTTGATGGATTTCCACGGTCAGACACCTGATTGCCACCCCGAACCCCACCCGCCTAATCCAACACACACACACACAACTTTGTGTCCACGGGTCGTATGACACACAGAAACCTGTTACCACGCTCCGCCGTTTAATCAACTTTTGAGCTCACCTGCTGGCAAATTTCCGGCAGCCTTCCCAACTGTAACACCAGAGACAGCGACAGCACAACAGGCGGCCATCGACCCCACGTGTCTGTGCTGCATTTTCAAGTGTAATTCTGTGAGTGCCGCATCCGCGTCCTTCCCCCAGATGAGAGATAATAGTTGGTGGTTATCCAATGACAAGTCCAGTTTGGAGCTCTGTGAATATTATCAGCAAAACAGCAGTGAGTTTATCGCTATCTCCTCTCTATTTGTCTTTTTCTCAGGATTGCAACCACATGAGGCGACCCACAAAATGACGTCACATGTGAGTAATCGTTGTACTTGGTTTGAGCCCAGAGGGAAAGTAGCTCATGAGAAAGGGTCCTGGTCAGCCGTGTGCCAGACTCCCACATATCAAGCGGAAGGATTGTTATTTTAGTAGTTGTAGTATAAACTTAGGTCACCTCTGCCTGTTCAAGTGGACATTAAAGATCCCACGTCGTTATTCAAAAAGAAAATTTGTCACTCCCGACAAACAATCTCTCTCTGGCCAACAATCGGCCAAAAAAAATATCGGTCACTCACTGTGTGTGTGCATTTGTCGGGATACTGGGCACGTGCACCTGACGTTTTTCACTCACAAAGTAAACAGCAACTGCTCTACACCATCAATACCATGAACCCATTTGGGACTGTTGAGGTCGTGATAAGGTGTTATTTCAAATGAAATAATAACTAACATATTACGTTCGTCTAATAATTTTCATTGTCAAGATCATTCATAACTATTCGATGTATTCATTGACATCTTCAATAATATTATTAAGTAGCCGTGAGTTTATTGAATTGTGCTGGTGTTAAATCCCGTTTTGGTTTGTTTCAGACGCGACGCTGAGGTTAGGTCCACAATCGGTGCCTCCAGTGGTGAGTAGTCAGGGGATCATTGACCATGTATCAGCCCAACTCAACACTGTATCAGACTTGCTCAGGACCCTCTTCAGCTCAGCGTAACACTAAGTCAGCCCGGATCAGCCGTGTCAGCCTGGCTCAGCCCAGCTCAGACGCTATGTCAGTTTCGCTTAGGCCTTCTACTAACATGGCTCAACCCAGCTGGTGCTCTTCGTCACTCTGGCTCAGCCGACAGCACTCTCGCCTGAGGTAGAAATTCATGGGTTTATCCCCAATGTCAGGACCTTCGCAATACTGAGAAAAAGAAGGGAGAATCTCCCATTATCCTGGCCGACAAAATGATTTCGTTCATTTCATATAATTCACAAGAATCCTTGCATTCGCAATACATAATTTTACATGACGGGGCTGTCTTAAAGCGCTTCACAGGATTTACCGCATAGAGGAATGACGGTGTGTTTACAGGACGTTTCCTTGCACAACTTGGCTGCTGCTTATAAAGTTCCTATGATTGATTATAATTGTTGTCCACCATTTTGAGCCGTTCTCGCACCGTGAAAAACATATGTTTTTTTTGTGTGTGTCTGTCTGTCTGTCTGTCTATATGTGTGTCTGTGACTGTCTGTTTGCCAGTATTTGCGTGATTTATGCTTGCGTGTTTGTGTGTGTGTGTATGTGTCTGAGTGTGTGTTTTTTGTGTTTGTGCGGGTCTGTACGTCTGTTTGTTCTCCATAAATTTTACATTCAAATAACGCCATTCACATCAGGGGTAACGTTTAATACAAGATTCTATCATAACGTTGGCTCCTATTAACTTACTAGTGGATATGTCCGGGATCAATTCCCACTTACAGAAATCCGCGAATGAGTGGGAGGGGGTTCGGTGGGTGAAGACAATCAGATATCGGAGCTGTGAGTCGGCGAGTTCGGGTTGGTGGAGCTGGCGGGAGTCGGATTTCTAACTGATCTTCAGCAGATGTGCTGATTTTTTGCCTGTTTGCAGGACGCTGATATCATCTACGCCAATCTGGCATTAGAAAACAGGAATGAGATCGGCCGCGAAGCCCGAGGGAGCGATGGTCCTGTCTACGCCACAGTCAGGGTTTAATGCAGAGGCCAGTGGCCATGGGTTGCTTTTTCTCCTCGCCCTATCAACTCATCACCACTTATATTGATATCCAGCTTCAGTTTCACTTCAATGGGGCTCTCATTTCTCCTGTCTCCCTGACGGAGATAGAGACTGAGTTAGAGATTGAGATAGAATGACTGAGGCAGAGACTGAGTAAGGGAGAGCCACTGAGTCAGAGACTGTATGAGAGAAAGGTAAAGGGAGACGGAGTCAGGGATGGAGAGACTGAATATGAGGGACGGTGTGAGAGATTCAGAGAAGGACTGAGACAGGGAGAGAACTTCAGTGAGACAAAGTGAACGAGAGTGATTGAATGAGACTGAGGGAGATACTGAGTGAGTGACTGAAAAAGAGAGACCGAGAGAGAGAGAGACTCAGTGAGAGTCAGAGGCTGATGATAGTGTGTGAGAGGGCAGATGGAGAGTGCGTGTCGGAAATAGCGGGAGTGACAGAATGTAATAGAGAGAGAGGGGAAGACAGTGATTGTGAGAGGAGTAAACTGATAGTTTTGATTGAGAAACAAAAGGGGCAGGGTGTGTGGGTTTTGTGAGAGAAGGAGAGAGTGATTGAGAGAGGACGTCTCACAGAGAAATAAACAGTTGTGCCACAGAAGGAGAGAGACAGGGGTAGAAGTTGGAGATTGAGATCGGGAAGAGTGAGAGTGTGACTGAGAGATACATTGTGGTGGAGACGTGGTTGGGGGAGAACGAGGAGGAACCATGGAGGAAAAGAGTTTGAAAGCGGCGAGAGAGTGTGTGAGTGGCGATGGGGTGGTAAAGATAGTGAGTGAGAGAAAGTAACCGAGTGACGCCGAAAGATGAGAAAAGAGTATGAAAGGACAGAGAGAGGGAGAAAGACGGGGAAAGTGTATGAAAGTCGAGAGTGATCGTGCATAGCTGCAGCTTTATTAGATGTTGATGTAAGGGCCTGTGTTATTTAATCAGAATGAATTGATGGGAAGTAAAGCACAAGCGATTCCTATATCAAAGGCACAATATTGATGCGATTAACCAATTGCAGTGAACTTCACTAACCCGTAGTAAGTTTTAACTTGATTTGATGAAATGTATCATTTGGTGATGCATAAGCTTGCTAATCCTTTATTAAATTTTACAACTTCAAAGGAAATTTGTATCAGTTCATACTTGAAAGCAGGATCACCTATTAAATAATGCCTTACCATTGGCAAAAAACAACCTGAAAAAATCTGTCAGCCTGAGAACGTGGGAATCACAAAGACCATCCTGATGTCAAACAAAGGTAGAAAGAAAACAGAAGCTCTTCACACCTCCTCACTATACCTACACTGAGTTCAGCCACAGCTGGTCACCATGGTGTTAGTGCTGAGCTGGTCTCCATGGTGTCAGTGCGGAGTTGAGGATACTGAGAGCAACTATCGCTTCTCTCGCTCAGTGACTGCAGCCACTCGGACTCCATTGCTCGCGATTACAGCCACGTCGCTCAGTCAATTCAGACAGCAAAACAGCCGCACAACAACAACAACTTGGAACTTTCAAGCACCCCTCAAGCAAGATAGTGACCCTGAGAGTTGGGGTCATGGGCAGACGAGGGCTGTTCCTTAATTCATGCCTGTTATTTTCAGCGTTATACAAAGCGGTCACGAACGCGAGCACTGACATTCAGTGACAGAAGTGATAATGCTCACTCATGCTACCAATGGCATTGCAAATTGTCACCTCCTGCTGAACATCTTCTCACATTTCCGCCGCTATTCACCCCTTCCTCCACACCTTCGAACCTGTACACCACATTCCTCTCAAATCTATCATGTCCAACATGAATCCAAACAAATGTTCCCTTGAGGACTTCCATCAGGAACAGTTCACTATTCTAGGGCCTTAAGAAAGGGAGCTTATACACAGGTGCAAACCTATCTC